CTTCAAACCAAAACTTTGTCTCAGGTCACAGTAAGATCGACTAATTCACCCTTTTGGAAAGGGCTTATGAAAGTAAAGCTTTCCTTGTTTAATAGGACAAAGTTTATTGTTGGTGACGGAGCCAGTACGAGATTCTGGGAGGATACTTGGCTCGGAGAGGTTCCCCTAGCCATCCAATACCCGTCGTTGTATCGTATTGTTCAACGACGTGAGGTTTTTGTTGCAACGGTATTTTAATCAATCCCCCTTAATATTCAGTTCAGAAGGGTGTTAGTGGGCAATTGTTGGGAAGAATGGTTACATCTAGTAAGGAGACTGATGGGCGTTCAACTTTCCCAACAACCCGATAAATTACGCTGGAAGCTTACTAGGTCGGGAGAATTTACAGTTAAATCAATGTATGTTGATGTGATCAATTCAAGCTCGATTCCTAGTTCCAAACATGTGTGGGATGTCAAAGTTCCTTTGAAAATTAAAGTGTTTATGTGGTTCCTCCACAAACAAGTTATTTTAACCAAGGACAACTTGACAAAGCGTAATTGGACAGGACCTACTAGGTGTAGTTTCTGTGATCGGGATGAAACGATTAAACACCTTTTTCTTGATTGCCCACTAGCTAAAGTTTTATGGAGGAAAGTCCATATTGCTTTCAATATTTCTCCACCGAGTTCAGTCAACACGTTATTTGGAACGTGGCTTAACGGGGTAGAGCCCGAGTTAGCGCGACATATTCGTGTAGGAGTCTGCGCCTTGGTGTGGGTGCTCTGGAATTGCAGGAATGATTTGGTTTTTAACAGGACAACACACATTCATTTTTTGCAGGTTATTTTCAGAGCTACGGCGCTGATCTGTTCCTGGTCGCTACTCACTCCGACGGAGGCCAGGGAGCATTTGATTACTGGATCTATCCGCTGGGAGACGGTAGCTCGGAATATCTTTAACCGGTTTGGATGTCGGTCATGTAATAGGATAGGCAATTAGTTTACCTATCTCTTTTTAGCCAGCCGGTTGTGGCATCCTTCTTTTGGCTAGTTTGTGTTTCTAACCTTTTTGGTTCTGTGTGAGCCCTTTTTTTATTCACTTTTTGCTTTTGGAGACTGTGAGACCTTGTTGGATCCTATTTATTTGGATTAATAAGATGGCCGTATGCATCATTCTGATGCAGAGGCTGGGGAGACCCCCTTTTCGAAAGAAAAAAATTACATCTAGAAGCTTGTAAACTGCCTGGAAATATTTATTTGCTGTCATGCCAAATTGCCAATGAAGTCTTGTCTCTCACGTGTAGCTGTACAGCTAATTAAAGAGATACTAGTAGAGTAATGTTCACTCGTATAAACAGAATTGGATCAGAACAGCATTCTGTTTCCTTTCTACATCAACACAGGCAGCTTCATAGTGGCTTGCCTACGTAATCAGAGATGAGCAGCATTCCCTTGTCTCTAGTCATTTTTAGGTCCAAGGTTAGTTTCATGGTGAGTGGTATTATCTTCAGAAAATGAGTACCATGGCAAAACTGACTAAAGGACACGCTCCACCTGGCCTTCATCCATTCGCCGAAAACACGCCGCCGCATAACACGGAGACGACGCTAGGGAAATCGTGCCCATTTTAAACCGATAGCCACAACATCCATTTTAAACCGATAGACACGGTTGCATGTAGCATCGAAGTAGGCTCATTTTCCGCAGTGTGGATACTTGTATATGATTTGCGTCATGAGTTCGCAAGGGTTTGTGACATATACGAGGTTTTCAGCTGGTTCTTGCCTGTGTAAAAGAATGAATAGATAATTTTCCACATGTTTTTTTTTAAGAAAAGGGGGATTACCCCCGGCCTCTGCATCAGATTCTGATGCACGCAGACCCTTCATTAAGCAAGTATCCGAAATGTGAAAAAAAAACTTGTAAACAGCTTGGAAGTATTTACTTGCTGTCATGCCAAAATGGAGTCTGATCTCTCTCACGCGTATAGCTGTACAGGAAAAGAGATAGCAGTGGTATAGCATCCACTGTACTGGTATATATATCAGAATTGGATCAGGACCGCATTCTGTTTCCTTTCTACATCTACACAGGCAGACTTATAGTGGCTTGCCTACTTAAACAGAGATGAACAGCATTCCCTTGTCTCTATCATTTTTTAGGTCCAACAAGGTTGTATTCACGGTGAGTGATATTATCTTCGGAAATGAATACCATGGCAAAAACTGGCTAAATGACACACTCTCCACTTGGCCATCACCCATTTGGCCGCACAACCCGGAGGCGGTGCTAGGGAAAATCACGCCCGTCCCAATTTCCCGAAAACAGAGAAATACGATGCTCGATGCTCAGAAAATACATCACGAGTCATCCAGGTTAAATGACGGTTATGCCCTCCGAACGGAACTCCGGTGCCCATATAAGAAGAGCCCACACTGCCACAGTCTCTCACACACTCACCACAGCACTTGTCTCCACTCTCTGATCCCGAAGAAGAAGAAGCCATAGCCCATAGCTTGCGCGAGGAAGGAGATGGAGGCAAAGAAGCTGAAGGGGGCGGCCACCATGGCCGCGCTGTGCGTGCTCGTCCTCCTGGTGCTGCTGCCCAGGGAGGCGGCCGCCAAGTCGGAGTTCTGCAAGTGCTTCGACGACTGATACTCCGGGTGCGTGAGCGGCAACGTGCCGGGCTACACCTGCGGTGTGTTCTGCGCCAACAAGTGCAGCCCCAACACCAACCTGCAGCCCGGCTATGGCGTCGGCGTCGGCTCGGCCGTCACCACCTGCAGGATGGCCTGCAAGATACAGATCTGCGGCCACTCAGCGGCGGCGCGCCGACTGGTAAGACGACGGACCATCTTGATCACATTCTTCTTCTCCTTCTTGATGAGTTGCAAATCTGCGTGTTCTTTTCTTTTTGACAAGAATACTTCCATCTTTTGTTCTGATCGATGATTTCTGTTCTTGCATTGCAATTTCTGCAGATGCAGTTGACACCGACGTCTGCGTGCAGAACTGCAACAGGAAGCTGAGCCAGATGGCCCAGACTGATTAACCGCCAAACCGCTCTGTTTTAGGAGAAGAGAAGAAGATTTGAAGAGCTACCTTGTCGATCATGGGATCATTACATATATATGAATATGATGTTGAATGGCTGTGATTGTAGCAGCAACCAATAAATTGAGTATGTCGGATATGTAAGGCATAATATACATAATATGAAGTTAAATTGGCTTTGATTTGGCATTTCCAAAGTTTTTTGTCTTTTTTGCGACGAAAAAGTGCGACCTTTTCCCCCTTAACTTAACCCAGAGATGAGAAAAATTTAGGCAACTGATACAACACCCAAGGCTTCATAGCATCTTAAAAAAAGAATGAAAAGTAGCACTGGAACCATATATTAGAACCATATATGTAGTAGCAAATAATACCAGGCTAAGGCAAGTGCAAATTCAGTTCAACTCACAAGAACTTCTTCCCAACATTCCTAACATTCATTATTCAGAACAGTGCTTCTAAATATTGAGGTGCGAAGTTAACAACAAAAAACACGCAAAACAAGGACATAAAGGAACATAGGCAAAGCAATGACAGTAGCTAGCATATGATTGATTTAATGAAGGCGCATGACACAATGACATTTCAGAGAGAAGCTCAAAACTAAACAAGGAGACATTAGGGAGATATTTAAATAAACTTACAACTGTAAATTAAAAAATACAACTCAGTTTTGAAAAACACACACACTAATAGAGAGTATATAGAACACGCCTACTGTCAAATTTACTGAATATTTCCAGAACAGCATATGCTCATTAATATCGTATGAAAAATGAAGAATATGCACAGTCAGACTATTAGCTGGCCAGAAAGGAGTCGTCATCCGGAGCTATCGTTGAAGCTTGTTCTACACAATACTGGAAGACAAATAAAGTATACTACTACTGAAAAATCACGGCCACAATAAGTAGGTGATCATGATTTACTTATCTGAACAAATTTAGCCCGTCAAGAGAATAGCATCCTTGTAAACTTCCTGGAAGTATTTGCTTGCTGTCATGCTAATGAAGTATGATCTCTTCACGCGTAGCTGTACAGCAAATTAAAGCGATACTAGTAGAGTAATGTACAGTTGTTCACTCGACTGGTATATAAACAGAACTGGATCAGAACGGCATTCTGTTTCCTTTCTACATCTACACAGGCAGACTCATAGTGGCTTGCCTACAAAAACAAAGATGAGCAGCCTTGCCATGTCTCTAATCATTTTTTAGGTCCAACATGGTTATATTCATAGTGGGTGATCAGTGATATCATCTTCAGGAATGAATAAAATGGCAAAACTGACTAGAGGACACACGTACTCCACCTGGCCTATATCCATTCGCCGAAAATACGCCGCCGCATAACCCGGCGGCGATGCTAGGGAAATCGTGCCCATTTGATTTACCAGGAGATAGTAGTACCGAATGTTCAGTTGTCCACTCAGACTGGCATATAGAAACAGCATTGTATCAGACTGTTTCCCTTCTACATCAACACAGGCAGATTCATAGTGTGGCTTGCCTACGAAAATAGAGATGAGCAACATTCCCTTGTCTCTAATCATTTTTAGGTCCAAGGTTAGTCTCATGGTGAGTGATATTCCCTCCTATCCATAATAAGTGCTGTGGTTTTAGTGGATCGGAGGGAATATTATTTTAAGAAAATGAGTACCCTGGCAAAACTGGCTACAGGACACACTCCACCTGGCTTTCATCCATTCGCCGAAAACACGCCACCGCATAACCCGGAGCCGTGCTAGGGAAATCATGCCCATTTGATTTACGAGGAAATAGCAAAATACTACAGCACATTACAAGTTATATATCCGGGCCAAATGACGATATTGCCCTCATATCTCCAGTGCCCATATAAGCACCCAAACTTCAACACAAACTCTCACACTCTCATCACAGCAGCTCTCTCCTCCCATCCCTTGATCCCGAAGAAGAAGAGGCCGTAGCTTGCACGAGGAGGGAGATGGAGGCGAAGAGGTCGAGGCCGCCCACCATTGCCGCACTGTGCGTGCTCCTCCTCCTGGTGCTGCTGCCCGGGGAGGTGGCCGCCAAGTCCAAGTTCTGCAAGTGCTTCGACGACTGCTTCCCCGGGTGCACGAACGACGACGTGCCGCGCTTCCTCTGCAAAGTGTTCTGCGCCAACAAGTGCAGCCCCAACCAGGCCGCCAGTGGCGGCGACGCCATGTGCAGGATGGCCTGCAACAAGCTGGATATCGAAATCTGCGGCTGGTCAGCGGCACCGACAGGTAAGATGTCGGACCATCTTGATCACATCGCGTTTGCTCCGTCGAGTCTGCGTTTCCTTTTCTTCTGACAAGTGTCATATCTGCTTCTGTTCTCATGATTTTGCAGATGCGGCTGATGTGGCCATCTGCGTGGAAAAGTGCAACAAGAAATGGAGCCACAATTAAGGCCCACAATTAAGCTGTTACGTTTTAGGAGAAGTAAAAAGATATCTAAAATGCTTGTCGATCATGTGATCGTATGTATGATGTTGAACCTCTCCGTAATTGTAGCAGCAACCAATAAAATGAGTATCTCGATATGTAACGTGTAAGGCATACATACACAATATAAAGTTAATTTGGCTTTGATTTGGCATTCCCATGACTGGATCGTAAGTTCGTAACAACCAAATGTAAATCCTCTGTGTGCGACTTTGTTTTCGTTATAACTTATCCCATAGATGAGTGAAAGTTCAAATGTTAGCCAAGCCATCGAAGCAAAGGAGGAAATAATAACATCTCCAAGAAACAAAGTGGCATTGGTACTGAAACTTTAAAACCAAAGGCAGTTATCTATGTGTAGAGGCAAATCAAGGCTAATAAGGATTTGCCTTTGGTTTGACTGCTCTCCCTGTCCTCATAAGAATAACCAAATCATTTCTTCAGAAGCAAATTGAGCCTTCGATTATTTTTTTCTTGCCAGGAACAAGTGAGACATTTTATTTTCTTCAGAAGCTAGCTCATAATACCAAAAAAGAAAATGCTAGCTCAAAATATATTTCAAATGTTAGCAAACTCATAAAATCAAAAGTTTGGGAAGCTGAAATCCAACATCCATGGCTTCACAGCATCTCAAAATAGAAGGAAAAGTAGCATGGAACCCGGCTCTTGTTGAATCGCCAGCCATTTATGCAGTAGAAAATAGCACCAGGCTAATGCAGGCACAATTCAGTTC